ACCTCCCCCCCCCCAAAACATCGGTGAACGAAACTGCGGCAGCTACAACCACTGTACGACGAGTACGCGGTTACTACAGCTGACAATGAGATGTTGTTCGGTTACTACAGCTGACAATGATGATGATGTTGTTCTCCGTCGCTGTCGGTAGTTTGGTTTATCCTGGCATCAATAGGAGGCACTGATCCTGTCGATATTCAATATCCATTTGATATTGTCGGAGCGATTGGACACAAACCCTCACACTTCACTCTCTGGTATCCACTTATCCGGAAGAAACGTCCATGGGATATATGGCGTCGTAGTTGAACTGGGCCCCAGAGCTGAACGCGCCTGAATTGGAAAACCCTCACACTTCACTCTCTGGTATCCACTTATCCGGAAGAAACGTCCATGGGATATATGGCGTCGTAGTTGAACTGGGCCCCAGAGCTGAACGCGCTTTGCTGAATTGGACTCTTTGTGCCGTACGATAATCCACTTCAGCTAAGTGCAATCTCCCGACACAGAAAATGGTGCCTGTTTGCAGTGTCGACATGATTTCCAACGGACTTCGGTTGTGACGCTGAGAAGTAGACTTTGTATCGAGAGTTATCCGAAATCACTCACTAACCAAGAAGCGCCGACATTGTGATCCCTGCGGAAAAACACACACAAGTCTGGGCTTCTTAGGAGATTTTCAGCATAAACACTTGCATTGCGCAAACTGGCCTCCAGTGTACATCGACTGTGGACCCAACTAGATCACGTGGCTATCAGTGTTATATCTTGATGTACGGTAGTGCAACTCTGTGTCGGTCCCTTGGCTTCCTGCTCCACCCACTATGGTATAGCAAAAGGCACGGTAGCTGTACACAGCCCTTTATGGAGACAAAGGAAAATCAGTACAACTGTTTATATATAGGGTAGTCACAGAGTGTTCCACAAGGTCGTGCCAGAATGTCCGTGAGGGGGCGAGAACCGTCGAGTCAAGGTGCTTGACTCGGATTGGCTGGCATTCTGACCAATCAGGGCATGCCTACGTCTGGCCCGTGTCCTGCACGTGACACATGCATCCAACTGATGTGATGTTCGGTTATTAGGGACGGCTGGCCCCCGAACAATCAGTCACCGGTTTAGTCTTCCGTTTCTTCTGGGGTACCCAACTTAATTTCGAGGAGACCTGACAATGACTTCCGTTCAGGCCCTCGCAAGTTAGCAAAAGAGCATGCCAACCCACTACCATTAGAGAACTACCATAGCTCACGACCATAGATCTAAGCTAGTTCAAGAAACGGGGACTTTTGCTAACGGAAACAGTCGTCTTCTTTACACAATCGACTGACCAGAGGAAAGCAGCGGTCAGTGAAAAAGATGAGTAAAAACGATGGCTCACCAATCCACCCGCAAAAATGCCGGACAGAGAGGTGTGCCGAACATATCCTGTGGAGATAATGGATGCGGACAAGTGGAATACAAACCCTAATCGCCGTTAGAGGAGGAAATAAAATATGATATATACGTGATGAAACATTAGAAAGCACCAGGTCTGGATATTCTGTATTCAACTGGGCATCCGTATCAGTCCAGATCGTCGAGCCAAACATAATATTTCCATCCGGATTGAGACTTTAATGAGCCTTCATCACATATGGCGTAGGTGTGATAGCTTATTTGTCAGTGGTCGACTTTACAAAGCTGCGGTGCACTGTATATTGTTGTACGAGTCAAAAATTTGGCCGCTGCGCACTGATGATTTCAAAATCGTTCACCGTTTGATCATCGATGTCATAGGCGCATGTCCGACTCTGATGGTACATCTGCTGAAGTACATCAAGTGGTTTTCAGCAGAAATAGCTCGCCCGAGATATATAAACTGGTCACATTCCACGGGTTGCGCTGGTTTAGTCAGGTTCACTGTATGCCACTGACATCTTCGGAGTGCCGTTTATGCGCAACCACGCGAAGGCTGGAAACGAGCCAGGGCAGGTCAAAAGCTACTTGGTAGCGAAGTATGAAAGCCATTACCAGCAAACTCAGCTGGATCCTTGACNCAGGTCAAAAGCTACTTGGTAGCGAAGTATGAAAGCCATTACCAGCAAACTCAGCTGTATCGATCCTTGACGTCTCCCTGGGTGAGGACTCAGAAACGGGTCACATCAATTGTTAGACATTGACAGATATGGCCCGGTCACGCACTCAGTGGCGCGTATGCATGCTAGCTGTTGCGTTCAGTACATAACTTCCACTCCCTTCCCCTATCTCCCGAATGAAAAGTTCAATGATATCGGTGTACTGACGCATCGGTTGTAGAAGTTACCGATTCCAGTGCGTAGCTATCTCCCTCACCTACCCAAATAATCGATGAACGAATATGTAGCAACTCTCCACTGTATGATAAACACTCACCTTTTTGAGCTGAAAGTGACAGTCGTGCTCCGTTCCTGACGTTTTATACCTCGAAGTTGAAAGAGGGTGACGGTCTTCTATTGACCACCTTTACAAACCTATTACCACTCGAGTGGGGACGCCGGAGCTATACGAGCTAGTGGTAGTGACCCTGACAGTTATGGCTGCCACTTGGCAAATGGTGGTCGTGCATCAAAACCAACCATGACCTACACAACGAACAATACTCTCATGCCACATCGGCCGTCGCGTGGTGCCATCAGCCGGGTCGCCTTATCTGCTGCATACAGCAGGGCGGGTAAGCGAAAACATGCTACTGCTGGCGCCTCCCTTCTTACACTTTCACGTTTTCCGTCTCCCACCCTCCCCCGCCCAAATTTGAATACTTTATCCGCAGGTCCCAGCTCTAGGACTGACCGTTTTGCTCGCCCTGCATCACACTCAGCTGCAGCTTCTGCACGTCCGAGTTCAGTTACAACCCTAAACACTTCGAAGTCTGTTTTCAAACCCCGAAAGCCTGTCTACTTAGCCACTTCCAATGTTCGCACACTGAAGCAAGCAGGTCAGCAGGTGGCTCTTGCGCGTACGCTGGATTCCCTCTGTATTGATATATGTTGTCTGTCAGAAACAAGGACGCAGGACGCAAGTACTGTAATCGAACTGACTGCCCCCCTCGCTCTCTTCCAGGTTCCGATTAGTTGTGTTGGCCATTTTAACCTCGTCGATTCCTGCTTCTGCAGGCACTTTCTTTCTCTGAAGTTGCTTCAGAGACAAACAGGAAGTCTATTCCGCACGGATATGAATCTTCTTAATTGGGGAACACGCGTTCGGGTGAAAATTGAGGTTACTGGTAGTATATTCACAGCAAATTAATGTTTCTTGGTGAGGAGAGAACCAAGTGGGGACCAAGTGAGAAGAATTAAGTAGGCTAATCTACCTGTGGCTAATACTTACTGTTTTCCATTTGGATATCAAGCCTCCTAGAGAGGTTCACCTTATTGGTAAGATCAAGAAAGTTGGCCTTCTCTGTAGCAAAACCAAAATCGCCTCCATAAATGAATACGTACCTTCTACCCTCTGAATAACCTGTTTGTTCTCTTTGCCTTTGCTTCATTCCAACAGTTTGAAGAAAGTTTGCAGAAATATCTCCCGAAGTCAGATCGCGAAGTGATCTCGGTGCTTCGACGCAAGTATCAGCGTACAAATACAGAGTTCCGTCATTCGAAACGATGCAGATCCGTACTTCACCAGTGCCTTCAGCGTATTGCTGCTCGCCCGACACGAGTCTACATGATTTTAAACGATCTCAAGACGACCTTCAAGCTTCAGACCACCGGAATTTCTCTGAACATCTCCAAGAAGCCTTCCAAGTCGCCACCCAATCTTCCGCAATCGAGCGGGCCAAATTCAACGGGTAAGTGTAAGAGATCCATTGTTCCCGATTTTGAAATCTGGTCATGTATACTAAGGCTTAATACGCCTACATTTACAAAGTGAGTCGGTTGAAAATGAACCCTCCAATTGGGTTTGGAGCTCTGCGGAGTGACGTAAGTCAGGAATCGTCCTGCCACACTATTAACGAATTCCTGTCTAGGCTTGGGAACCTGGCAGTATTCCAGCTCTCATGTTTCCCGAATTAGTGACATTTCTTTTGTACCGCCGGAGGATTTGTGCGGTTTATAACCAAGGGATAGATTTGTTGCGGCCGGTTTTACCAGAATGTTCGGAATTTATCATCATGAAATCATAGTAGCCATTTGATCCGAAATTGTGTAGCTGGGTGGAGAAGAGCAAAAGAGTAAAGACAGCTTTATTATAAAAACTTCACGGTCCTAGCCCGTGGACCATACTACAGTTCAATCGGTCTAGATTGAAAGGAATGGTAGAGTTACCACAATTCACATGATTCCACTGGTTCAAATCTGACAATACTCTCATCTCAAGAGGCCACTGACGTGGTTTGGTTGAAGACCGATTGTTCGCACGGATTCACCCTAACAAATGGTCGATTATTTTTGAATGGTAGTGAATCCATCGGCTGAATTTATGCTTCTCTTTGAAATTTTTCACCCTTTACTTGAGGCGGATAGGAAAAACGGAGATTTGTGAGTTTACTCAAAATAGAACACGATAACAATTACAGTCGAGTGAAAGTCGAATCTAGGGTTTCGTGCATCAATTATTTAGCTGCGCGCGGTTGGGTTATGTCTATCGCGGGAAAGATATCCGGCCAATGTACAAGTGCAAACCGCTTTAGAAGTCAACAACTGTTGAGTTGACTGCTCCTGGCTCATCTTCAGTTTCTTCAATTTCCGTGTAGTATTGGAAGATGAGAGTGCCAGTCTGTCCTAACTCGGTTTGCAAATGGACTGCACAACTATCCTTTGCTTGATCACACCATTTAAGTGAACAGGACCAAGCCTCTAAATTGTTTTGAGTCCTTCATCCATGGTTTCCTGTCTGTTTTTTACCATACAATGATTCGATCCATGCTGAAGGTTTCGAACGCCCCCCAAATGCGAACATCGCACATTGTCATTATCCTCTATCGTTCTCTTGCTTTCTCTACTTTTCCGTAAATGGCTCGTTTACAAGCGAGAATCCTCAACTGCGTAATACTCGTATCTTTTGTCCCGATTGGAAACGTCCTATTTTCCGTGATTATCACACCATTTCCTCAGGTGTCTCAGCTATGGCCTTGCTCGGGGCTGAGATCTATGCCAAAGGTTTCCCAAGATTCACCTAGTCGCTTGCCTTGCACAGCAATTTATGTTAATTTCTTGTGCCACGTGGATTCTGTACGTTTCCGGAAAGTCATTTACATTCCCACTGTGCTGTTTCTTGTGCCAGGAACGTTGGCATTCCACCATTGAATTACGTATTGAGCATGAAGGCTCAGTCATGCTGCGAGAGGTTCCTAGTTCATTGTAGAAACTGACCACCGAGCTCGATGCGTGGGGCTGTGGACACGCATCCGCCACTGCCACCCGTGGCCTTACGAAATTCCGTTTGGACAATGTTGTCCAGTCGCGCAATTGTTCAACACACTCATTGGAGAAACTCAACGAACCTGGATGGAACATCGGTACCACCCCACCACCAACAACAACAACAACAGAAATCCGGCGTAAGGTATCATTTATCCGATGCGATAAGACAGAATGATCTGCAGAACGGTTTCCATCGTACATCTTTCAAAAAGAGGAGTGAACCTCAGGCGAATAGTCTAACTACTTTACCACTGATTATTTGAGATGAAAACTAGATGCCTGTTGAATGGGCCTTTTCGGACTTGATTGCAGTTTTCAACAAGGGGCACAAGAACATGCGAACATAAGCATATTAACCGTAGCAATCAGGGTGTTCTCTAGAATTGCTTTTTTCGCAGTGTGCTTGAATGATAAGGGGGAGATCTGTGAGAATCTGTGAGAATCAAGCTGAGTTTTGCCCAGACCGAGAATCGCTAACCATACTTACAGACAGGCACCAGACACTCAAACGCCCAATGATAGTCATTTTTCGTGATCTGTGGGTCTCTTTTGTGCTTTGTGGACCATCGGAAACCAGGGCGGATCAGAATTGTCCAGAAGTGCCAAGAATTGATCATAGTCGCCCATTATGAGAGCACTGTATTCAAACTCCTATGGTGCATCAAGCTGTTGCCTGATTTCACCATGTTCATTGGTGTAAGACAAGGTTGTCTTCTCAGCAGTTCTCTTCAGCGTTGTTATTTATGTGATGCTTAAAATTATTCTGTTTTTTTTTCCTGAAACATATATAGAAATGCTCCCGGGACGTTCGCTCACAGCACTGAGTGTGCGGCGGTGCGGCTCGTCTTACCTTATGGTTCAGAAACGTGACGTACGCAGAGGGATGTAGAAAACTCCTAATACTTTGTCTTTGTTGTCCCCGAAGCATTGAACGGTTATTGTGGGAACATTAGGTAATTAAAACTAGGATACGCCCGCTTATTTAGAAAGATACTTTGTCTTTGTTGTCCCCGAAGCATTGAACGGTTATGGTGGGAACATTAGGTTAATAAAACTAGGATACGCCAGCTTATTTTAGAAAGAAGGAACTTTTCTGCGATGAATGAGCTACTCACGCCATGAGTTACTCTGGAGGAGACCGAGTGATGAATAGTCGGGGACCTGGTAGCAGTCTGAAAAATCTAATCAATAAACTCAGTCAGGTTGATAGCTGCCTCCTCTGTGGACGGTGACTCCGGGACTAAACTCATCAATATTTACTGATACTGGCAAACAGGGCTCAATCACGCAGTCAGTGGAGGTCGTACCTCATAGCTATTGCCCTCAGTGCGTAGCCGCACCGTTTTCTAGTTTACCGGACCGATCCAGCGATAAACAAATATGCGGTCTTCTCCACCACCTGGCTGTAGCTCCTCTTTTCTCCAGTTTTTCTGTAACCATTACCGTAGCTACTGGAATCCACGTATCCCCAGTTCATTGCTGTGCTAAACTGAACCATGTTTAAGGTGCTGCACGGAAAGAGCGGCATCGATTGGGTTCTAAACAGCCATGTCTCCAGTGTCTCTCTACTCCGGCAATCAAACTTTGTTGTTTTTAATTAAGAGATGTCTCGAGCGTACTGAATAATCAACAACCAGAGCGTGCAGACTGTGATTTACTTGCGGTGAATCTGAATCTTTCAATGCAATTAGTCATAGAACTAGGTAATTGTACTGTTTTCTATGAAGTACAGTCTCTTCGGAGACATTATTGAGGTGGCATCACTGCATATACATTTAATATATTTAACATATATATAATATGCATATAATCTACGTATATGTGGTACAGTACAAAAACATTACTTTTACACTAAAATCTAGAGGTTATGTACCGGCGTGAACGAATCCTGTTCATAAACCCGACCGAAACCCTCCTCGGTACAACCAGATGTGTTTCGAAGGTAGTCCCAGGATTTAGAAGCATAAGCAAGAGATTCATTTGGGTTCCAGCTGAGTCTTCTGTCAAAACCAAGTTGGTATGCAAATGAGTGTATTTCGCGAATCCAAGGATCCTGTGAGCTGGATTGGAGCATTTGATACTCATCATTCGAAATACTCTTGGAGTAGTACGCTTGACTCTTGTATTCTACTTTGAGAAGAGGGGATGGTCAAATTTGGCACGGTCGCACTCAAATAAATGGCCACAAGATGGCCTTATAATTATTTCGGATTAGCCGACCGAGGATGTACTGCAGCTGATCGATTGGTTTGGTGCACACGTCAACAAGGGGATTTGTCTGATGTATCGCGTGTGTGGGTTAGGTGCGATCTCCATGACGACCGTGATTACATCGTCAGACTGATGTTCCCACAGTGTAAGAATTTCTTCCTTGTCTCTGAAACGTGCAAATCATTGGGACTGCCAGGTAGCCGATTTGAAAGCGTCCGTATGGGGCTCCAATCCAAGGGTATTCCACGATTTCACCCTCTCGGTTACCCAACTATGTTCATTAAAACAGGCTGCTTTCCGTGAAAGCAATGTCATTTAAAGGTTCATTTCATTCTGTTTCTACATTTTTCTGAAAAATCAGCGTGTGTTTTTGTGTACTGCACGAATTACTTATTTTGCTCCTTTAACTTTCCTTATGGTATAAGATTTGGACGCTAGTGACAACAAACTAGCTTCCCCTGTGCTTCTCCAAACATTTGAGGGGCCCTCTCAAACATGTGTTCCCACTTCGTTGAACAATACGACATCCGCCGATCATCTTGAGGATGATGACGTCATCATTTTGGATGAACCACCTCCTGCAGAGACTGCTCACAAGTCTCACTCTCCTCCTGTGCAGTCAGCTGTCCCCTCCACAAGTAGTCATCCCGACTCCCCAAGACAGCCTTGCTCACAGGCGACCTTGGACACCTCCAGACGTTCAGTCGTAGAACGGTTGGAGCATTTATTATCCGTGAGTTGAGTTGAACTATGTATAGCGCGTCGGTTCGCGCCTTTTTCTATTATGCACTCCAGTTGTCATTTTTGTAGCCTACCGAACCGTTTTGCCTCAGCCAATTTGTAGGAACGCTGTCTCTTTAAGACATGTCTGATAATTTTTGTTCCTATCTCTTATTACCTTGCTCTCTGAATTAAGTCAGGCTTCGAATATTTTCCACAACAAGTACTTCGTCTTTAAGGAACTCTTCTGAGGGGTAAATTTCCGTACTGGTGGAAGGTTATTAGGTAGGTTCCAGTCAGCATCGTTCAGCTGTAGCACCCTTTCGGTGCCTAACTGCCATACCACCAGAAGGTTGCACGAGGGCTGGGATACTGCCAGGTTGCCCAAGCCTAGACCGGGGAGTAGTCGAGAGACGCAGGTCGGGTGTGAACCACGGACCTTGCGGTCAGTAAATTCGCGCTCTAACCACTTCGGCCATCTCGCCTCCGCATAGTACATATGTATGTGAAGGTGTTGTACAAATCGGGGGAAAAGTTACCTGAGACGTAATAGCAAAACGACACTGACATGCTAAGCGATGATATGAGGCTGGCCACAGCGGGTGTTCGCATCTTGTGGCGGGGATTTTGCAGAAATTGTAAGATCTTGGTTTAAAATCGGCAATCGCGCTGGAGATGAAGGCAAGACAAAAAACTGAGGCATGTTCACATCTCAGTGAATGTGGGGCACGTAGAGTACATCGCACCCATGATGAATGTAGTTGTCTTGTAGTAACACGGATCAAGTGAATCGTGGCATGATATGTGCGGCCCCTACAACCCTGCACATAAGTCGGATCTCGACATCTAATGGTAGCGAAGTCCCCACTGCTCCGAACAGATGAAGATCCCAGAAATCCTGTGGGCTTTCTGTCTGAAAAGTCTTCAATACAGTAGCCACTTAACATCAGATCGTGTGGCATAAGCAGCGTGACTGATATGTCGTGATAGAATGGCAGTTTTTAGAGAGCCGGTTCGTACGATGCGCACAACAGGCTTATCAACAAGGAAGAAACAGCTGTCCGGCCCTTATCGGTCTTCTGGCGTTGATCGACTTTACCTGCAGCATAAGTTCTCCACTCCTAGTATGTGCTTAGTCAGCTTCTCACATCGTGTCAGTGGGAATAGAAATAAGCCCTAAAAACACCCAAGCGAATTTATGGCCGATAGCAATTGCCAGGAACCAAATGTTTAAAGAAGATATTTCGTGAACTTTGCTTGTTATTTACACATGTCCGTGGCAAGTTAGAGCACTCTTTTCATTGGTAACGGCTTTCTATTGGCTCTCGGTTGTCCTATTTTCCCCATCGTTTACAAGCGTCTCAGCAAGGCAATTCGAGCACTAGAAGAGGAGGAATTGGATATGGACGCTCTGGAATCCAGCAACTCTCCATACTTAAAATTGGACGGCCTAAAGCGCCGCTACTTGCAGGTCTGGCATCGCCTATGTGACGCTCGAAGGATGGCTCGCATATCGGGTCGGATTGTGCGTCGTCGATTCACATATGCAGGTTAATAAAATTCGGACTGTATTCCCACTTTTCGCTACCGATTTTCTGGTCTTTTCCGATCGCACCAAGCTTGTCTCTGTGTAATACGTAGTTTGATTCACTTATGTTTACGCCGTGATACTCTCAGATGGCCTATTGCTGTAGGTCGTCGCTGGCGGATGCTATTTAGCAATTTTTCCGCTGTTATGCACGGTATGAAATAACTAATGATCCGACTTCCCCTCTAAACTGCCGTCTTTAATTTGACCAGACCGACCATCAATGACAGTCGGCGAGCTTTCCGATAGATGCGCATGGGACGTCTCGGTTGGGTCTAACAGACCCAATAGCTAGATGCGCATTTGAGTTTCTCCTTCTGCCTTCCACTGACATGCATTTCATGCTTCTCAAACTCCGTGTTTGGTCCTTACATGTATCTTCCACTTTTCTTTTATTTCGGTATTTAGACGAACTTTTTTCACTCGTTACTCGTGCTTCAAATGCGGATTTCTTTTTCACTCACTTGGAATTTTTTGCGGAAATTGTAGAATTTGTATCTGTTGCACAATTTTCAGCCTGGGTGGTTATTCTTATCATCGTCTGCATTTGAACTTCATTCATTGTCGGATAGCATGGCTAACACGGGCTATTTGAGTAACCTCAAATTTAGCCCACCAACTCCCATGTTATCCTCATACTGGCTACACCATTCATCAGGGAATAGCAAGACCGTAGATTGAGGCGATTTTTATTGTGACAGGTTCACCGTTCTTCAGCGCTATTTATGCATGAGTCCCCTCCAAGGTCGTGTTAGATTCCTTTGGGGGGGGGGGTGTTAAGTGTCAAGCTCAAATGTCTAGTCCTGACTGGCCCTTTATTCAATGAGTCAACCATTCTGGGTCGTATTTGTCCCATCGTACATTCAGTCGTTTAGTCGACGTGATGTTTAGTTACTTCGCGTGATTGACCTTCGAATTCAGATGTAATCGCTATAATGTTTCCAGCCTGTACGTTTCTCAGATTTTCTCCCTTAGTTCAGTGGAATCCAAGCTATGTCGATAAAGTTTACTTCCCAGTTTGTCTCATGAACGCCGAACGTCTCTCCAGGCTCTTCAGCGTGCCACTAAAGCATTGCGTACAGGCACATTCATCCATCTTGAACGGCAATGCATGAACTAAGCATGTAGTTTAGGTTTTCGTGCGTGTGTCAAAAAAGAATGTCTTCCTATTCCTGTTGCCTTTGGTCGACATTGGAGAGACATTGTGTTTGCATTCACGTCGCTAGCATCTGAACAGGTGATATCCCTGCCCGTGTAGCCTCGTTTCAAAAGTAATCATACTGTGATTTATTAAGCATAGTACCATCTTAAACATGCGACGGCCTTTGTGCACCACATTCAGCCAAAGAATATTTCAATGAGAGATTCAACGGATTCAGTTTGATGTCCGGTTAAAATGAGTGTAAATGAGCGTAAGTCACCAGTCATGACAATTTGACCTTCAAGTTGTTGACAACACCTCGGTAACTTCGCTTGATTGGGGACCTCAAGAAGGGTGAAACCCGTCGTTGTGAACAGTGTTCGGTCTAGGTGTAAGTTAGGTGTGTACCCCACACGATGCACTAGCCATCTTGGCAGATATTTTCTAACCGAATTTGTTTGCCCGAATGATCAGCTCCCGTGTACAGCCACTTAGTAGATGTTTGTATTGCATCCACCACGATCGTAAAGACTGAAAAATGACATCCGGATTAATTACGGATGCATGGCTAGTGCAGTTGGCCCCGTTGTTGCTTGTTCGGGTATGAAACGGAGAAAAACTACAATTTGTGTGCGACTGACTCACCACTCACATTTCCGTTTGTTCAGGGTGATGATCACGCTTAGCAATGGTAGCTTTATGATACTGAACTCGTTTTCTTATTTTTCCAATGACCTTGAAGTAGGTCAGTTTGTAACGTCTCGGAGCATTAATTCCGATGACCGGGGATCAAAAAGCGAGGTGAAATCTCTTTAGTCGAAGCCTAGTAAGGGAGGCAACACATGTAACCGATTTTCACTTAGAAAACAGTCAAAATGACATGCGTAACATTCCAATATTCTATGGACTATTCTCTTCCGGTTCGGTATGCACTTTGCTGTCAAGGATGCTACGGTCCACCACAATATGAAGCACTGCAGAATTTGCGGCTATTGTTCAGGGCTCAGTGTTCGTCGCTGTGGTAGATATGAATTCCCTAGTCCATTCAGTACAGGATCAGCTGACCAGTCCGACACAGCCTAATACGCCAGAGCGCTGTGTGCGAATCCTCGCGTCACTGCAGGCTCCCGACAAACAGTCTTTGCCTCCTCAAATGTGTGCTACTAATCAAATTTACTAGGAGTTAAAATTAATTACAAAACTTACCCGAACAGCATCTTTCGGCTGTATCGCCAATCGATGTTACCTACTGGATGTCAACTCTACTTTTAGAACTTTTTTCTCCCATTAGCTGACACTCCGGTTGCTCAAGTTGCTTCTGATATTCTTACTGTCCCTGTTCCGTTTTTTTCCTGGACGTGCGATGTTGTTGCACTATCCTTCTTAACCCATCTTTCAACATTTGTCTCCTCCCGCACTTCATCAGGATGTAAATACCCAAGTGTTAATTCTCGTATTGAATACCTGGTGAACGACAGGAGAAAATTCCCAGACTACACTGATATACGGCGAATAGTGTCGAGCGTAAATCGCGATGAAAACTTGGAACTGGGGTAAGTTCACTTGTTCTGGTATGCTCTCTCTTGTAATTACCTTTGAAAAGCAGCAATTTCCTTGATATCCCCATGAATTCCATCTTCACGGATGATTATCTGTCACCCAAAATCCCGCGTGCTAATGTGATACCATGTGCTACCTTATACCGAGACCAATGTTGTTCCCTGTGTCTGCTTCAGAATGGCGCCAACCGCTGTAGCGACAACGAGTGATTTAGTAGAAGGGTGTTGAAGAGAATACGAAGAATTTGAGTGTAGTTGGTATTGCACGCCTTCCGGTATTGGGTCCCCGTGACCCCGCCTGTGCTTGACTAGAGACATTGCAAAGAATGGTGGCTGATCGATGTCAGTGACATCCGTGCTGTCAGTTTCTTTCCAAATTGTCCGACCAAGCACTTGGAGGCACATGAGAGTGATTGCCATCACCAGATCCCCCGCCTCGCCCGCTGCTTAGGTTTTAAGTATAATTAGATAAACTTTTTTGTTGTACGGAATTGGAACATCTGTAAAATAAAAAGTCGTTCAGCTGTGTCCCCATTACGGTACCTAGCTGCTATGCGAAAGCAAGGAGGCACGAGGGCTGGAATACTATCAGGTTGCCCATATTAGACAGGAGTAGTCGAGATGCTGAAGTTGGGTTCGAACCATAGACATTCCCATCAGGAAATTTGTGTCCTAACCAATCAACTTTCCTGAGGTCATTCGTGACGACCTTTCGATTCGTAAGCTGGCACCTTAACCGCGGAGCTCTCTCTCGAGCCCGAAGCATCAGCGTCAACATTGATGTTGTTGTCTCTGATGGTGGTCATTTTCTTACTTGCCGATTGGTATGATCTGCTGTATACTCCATATTTATTTTATAGTTTTATAGTTTTTTTATTTTATAGTTCCTCTGAAACCGTTTGTCGTTGTCTGGCAAACCAAGTTTGAAGTGTAATGTAATGTGCCGCTTCATGCTTACCGAAGTTTCGCAGAACGATGCGACCCTAAGTTAGCTGGTAATGCGCTATCTTGAGGGCCCCGCTGTGAACCAATATGTACAGTGTAGCAACACCTTTATACACTTCTATACAAACTCCAATGTGTAGGGTCCCTACTATTGCCTTCGTTGCTCTTGCACTCGTATCTTCCTTTGTAACCGGTGCTACTGTTGTCTTCGGTGCGCTAGTAAGTGAATTTGGCAGGGAAGAACTTCTTAACTTTCCTTATTATTTTTTGTAGCTCCTCCGCTGTAAGCGATTTGGCCCGTGAGGTATTCATTGATGTGGGACACCTGCTCAAACGTCGACGACAAGATGATCTGCGCCAAGATCTGGGATGTCACCTCACGGACGACTTGCAGTGAGTTCGCCTGAGTACTGTGTTACGATAACTTAATCCGCCCTGCAAAGTGGAGTCGAGTTCCCCAGTTCCCATGTGTTGGAATTAACCTGTTTATGTTGCTGCGGTAGATGAACCACCATGTGGCAGTCGAGTCAGCCCATGGAAAGCATAATTTAACCAACTCTACTGTATAATACCTATTAGTTGACGCTTTTCCCGAGCAATTACAACCTTCTATGAGTTGTCCAACAGCTGCAATCTTACACAATGTGGTTATTTTTCCGTTTTGCGTGTAATCCGCCCATAGACATTGTAGCCTCTTCAAAAATCCACAACCATTCCTTTGTTGATCTCTCTGTTCCCTACATACTTTGCTGCCATGTTTGTAGTTCATTTGATCCGTGATCTTCTCTCGAACAGGGAAGAAGATGATCCGACCTACTACGACTCTACTCTACGACGCCAGTTGGCACACAACAAGACAGTTGGCGAGCTTCGACTTAATGCTGTAAGTTTGTGCACCACAGAAGCCGTGTTTTCACATCGACTAACTTCCTATCGAAAGTGTTGAACGGGCCACTCATAATCGCAAATAGCTCTCATCATTCTGTTTTACGACGAGCGGAACTTACAGCCTTATGAGACCTATCCAATGGTACCAGTGAAAAAAAAATTCATTTCCAGTCGAATTTCTTTGTACCAGCCCATGTTGTGTGCTAAACCGGCACTAGCTATCCCTGCAGGGCATCGCATCATCTTCCGTGGACGTGTTTTGGACAATTCCAAACACCAAGCTGGAAACCCCGTGCACCCTCACGCGACTGTTGGAGCATTTTCTCTTCGTGCATTTTACGTCACTGTATGGTTAGTCGGCTGGCAGCAGAATTGGTTGCGTTTTTTGGTTAGGCGTACCTTTTGGTCGGTGTTCAGCTAAGGGAAATATACACCTTGGGACCAAGTAATGTGACCACCTCTTTCGACTCCACCATTAAGTCGATTCCTCGCCAGTGTGCGTAATACACAGTATTTGGCCATTTCGGTGGAGTATTTTCCTATTTTTTTTCTAAAAACCTCTCGAGAGTTAGACAGTCGGCGAAGGCAGAGAGCATTCTCCAATGCAGAAGCTTCCTTCATAAAAAGAGTGGATGACTTTCTTGTGCATCAGGTTGGGATTAATCGCGGAGCTACGCTGTCAAACTAATGAATATGGATGATTACATTTCTGTGTTCATTTTCCTAAAAAAGTAGTATCTTACTTCCTCTGGAACCAGCCGCAATTTTGGACCGCTCGGGGTTGATTGAGCCTCACTTTTCACGTCATCCGCATCCAACGGATTGTATCCTTTTCTTGGTTGTCCCTAATTTTTTTAATTGATTGAGCTTACTGGTCACCAATTACAGTTTTCTATCCTTACGTGGTCGCCCGCTATGGCCGTTGAGTGACTTATTGGTGAGCTGATGGGAAATTTGCGGTGTCTTTCCAACAGTCTGACAGCACTAGTCCAACTTCTTATCACGGGTTAGTATCAACTGACGGAAATCTTTGGTCATCTACCCGATCAGTTTGAAATGTGAATCGGAATTGTTGAACATTGTCTTCATATGCGTTCTCACCCTGACTGCTTCTAAAGCATATCCTCTTGTTTAGGATAAACACGCGCCTCATACCGGTTACCAATAGGCGTTTTGTTCCAAATTTACGAAGCTCCTGACACTTTGCTTACTTTCCGTTTTGTTTATTTCGCTTAGGTCTTCGACAAATATGTTCAATTACAAAATGCCACCACACCGCCGTTGGTGAATGAGGATACAGGCGGTGTGGATGGTAGTGACCGCAAATCCTCGTGTAAATCAACAGAAGTTTCTCGTATAATTTCGACCAATGACGATCACTCGGACTCGGATGACAGTGATGTAAGCCGCAAAGTAGACGAACCCCCAAAGTCCATCTCCTACGAAGTCTTGTCCCTTAGTTCAGAATCTGACACGGATTGTTCTAAGCTAACTTCTGTCCGACCTGATCAGTCAACTTCGGGTACTACCCCCAAACAGCAGCCTGCTTCCCCAATCATCAACCTCACTGAGGATGATAGTAGTACACCGTCTGATCACTCCGAAGGTATGGCGATTGTTCCAGTTGTGTTGTCTGCTCCACCAACTTCGGATCACAGTATTTTACCCGCTCAGTCGAACCTGCACAACCACACTAGGCGAACGAACTTCTCAATGTTCAACCCCTGTCAGCAATTTTTCCATCCATCAGTTCCAATGATTCATCAAACCCAACATGCTAGTCAAACAGTCACACTAACTCGTCAGTTTGGATGTAACGGATTAGGGTCGATGTTGAGCACAACTCAGTTAGCCACAACCAAGATGGTGTGCCATCAGCTACTTCCCACTCCAAGATCACAATCATTTTTCCCCATTTCAACTAACAATTTCTCCTCTAGGCCCTCTCGCGGTCGACTGGTGCCCACTACACACCCACGCAACAGGTCATTTTCAACATTCAGCACATCATCTGGTGACCGCGTGAATCGTAATGGCCCACCGCCCAATCCACCTGTCGCATCGGACACAGAGACGATTGTGCTCGATTGATTAGAGAACCATCTCTCTCCACCTTTATCTCTGTACTCCCCACATGATATTCTCATGCGAAATAGTTCTGTAAATTTCGCAACACGATGTTTGCCTCTGTGACTTTTCCGAACTGCAGGACTTGACATCACTATGTTTCGCTTGCGATTGGAAGTCCACACCGTTCGGTTTGCTCCCTTATCTCGCATACGTTTCAACCCTATATCCAACCAGTCGTTCGCATTAGAAGCAAGCAGTTTGTGGACCCATCAGTTTACATCCCTTTTTATGCCATCTCTTTGCGGAGTAAATTGCGAGTACAATATTTTTGGTACCATTGCGGGAACATTAAAAAAACTACACCGGAAGAACTACATCTCTTTCTGCATCGGTTTAACTCAGGGAGTCGACTTTGACACGCTGACACCTTAAAAGATCTGGACACCCAAGGGCATAACAGAGAGACTCCCTGATCCAGCAGTTGATTGATGTTCTTGATGAGTTCGGTTTTCTCATACTGGCAAAATGAATGCAGTCTTCACTCATCCATGTGAAGCCTGATTGTATCCTTGAAAGCGATGAAACAAGACGGTAATTTTAGACAAGAAAAGATACCCTGAAAGAAAGACAATATATTCGGTGATTTTTTCGTCCAGTTACGTCCTAGTTTGGGTTCCGAAAGTTGGGGACTACTCTACCGTGTGCTATGCTTTTGGCAATTAGGATTTTCAGCTTGTGTGGCATTCAGGGCTTCTGTGGTTAACACATACCTGCTATAATGAATTAGGTTATATATGTGGTTGACATTCAATACGGATCTATATACCAATGCTGTTTGAACTACTGAAGTCCTGTGCATGTTTATCACACCACGTGATTCGTAAACCAAAAGGATTTAGATGGGCCCTCGAATATCCTTTGGGAACCATCAGCTGGGTTCAGCATGAGTGCGTTACAGCGAACATTAGCACCATATTGAAGAATGGGGCATCGATGCCCTCCGTCATTTTCTGTAGCATTCAGTACAACATTGTAGTCATTTTCACTGATCAAACCATTTCTGTAGTCATGGATGTATAGGCAACATGATTGCAGTGGGGGCATAATTTCGTTGTTTGAAAATGCAGGAAACTTACTCTTCGTGTCTGATACGGTTTTGGACTCCGCAATGTCCCAATTCTCTCATGCAGATGCTGTGTTAGATATGGTCGTTGTTTTGTTAGCTGAGTTGGGCAGTTTAGTTGTGGACGTTTCGTTACTAACCGAATTGATATTACCCGTGCGTGGTGATTTGGCTTATTCTTGTTGACGCGAGTGAGGAGGTGGCCTTGATTATGACTGGTCGTTTGGATTGTTGGTCTCGAACATAACCACAAGTGCAGAACTGTTTAACTTCTACCGCCAGCTTATCGTACGCTGATGATTCCACCTCGGTTGGTGACGAAGTGTTTTCAAGCAGATTGCCCAGCTCAGCGAACAGAACAGCGATTATCTATACAAACACGAACACTCCTCTTGGTAGGTTTCGCTTGGATCGTTTCAGTGTCGAGACACGCGGAGTTCAAGAACGCACCATATTTTTGTTAGCTGCCTCGGCCCAGCGCTAGACTTTCCTGCGATCCAAGACCGAAGCCAGTTTTTCTCTAACTCATCGAATTCCGTCGAAAGCAGCACATGTGTGAAGTTAAGCGAAACCTACGAATCCAGTTCGGACATTCGACTACCAGTCGTGGGTCAGTATTTAGTGTTGGTGATCTGTGATTCGCATCTGCAAAACATTTGGAATGTACGTCTGATCAACTACTAAAGCAAAACTATCACACCAAACCCGTTTTGCTGAAAGCAATTACGTGCATGCCCGGGCAAGTAGTTCAACATGCCCAAAGTGCTGACGGTATCACTTGAGGTCGTTGTGAACAGGTGGTGCTCATATGGAGCGCCCGTCCACACAAGACTCTTCCCGCTTAATATGGGTCATTCCTTTTTTAAACATTGAAAATCGGGTGGGAATCATACGGTAATGATCCGCGAAAACCAAGTTGGGTTCCGTCCTGCAAGAGGTTGCATCGATCATATCCTCACCCTCCGACAGATTCTGGAACAGCGACACTGCTTCCAGCAACCAACAATGGTTGTTTTTCTTGATCTGAAAGCTGCCTTTGACTCTGTGGACCGCCAAGCACTATGGCAGTGTCTGTGGAGCAAAGGTGTCCCCCATAAATTCTTGACCCTCATTTAGGCGCTGTACGCCAACTCCTGCGGCCGTGTAAGGGTCTACGGGAAGCTCTCTCCTGAGTTCACCACATCCAGTGGTGTCCGACAGGGTTGTCCTCTTTCACTTTTCCTCTTCAACTTCGTCATTGATACGATCATGGAAGACTCACTATCAGCCTCTAATGCCTGTGGGGTCGAAGTGCTCCATGAGCGTCTGTTCATAGATATCCAGTATGCAGACGATATAGCTCTTCTTAGATCTGACACCGTGATGATGCAAACAATACTAAATAATCTAAATAATTCTGCCTCACGGTTTGGCATGCGCTTCACACCGGCAAAGTATTGAGTGCTACTGCAAATCTGGGTGGGCTCGAACCCTAGTCTCATGTTTGCGGATGAGGCGATTGAGGTAGTAGACAAATCCGTTTACCTGGGTAGCTGTATCAGTCCCAGTAGTCCGGCGAAAGATGATATTTCCATCCGAATTGGGAAAGCCAGGGCAGCTTTTGTGAACTTGCGTCACCTGTGGCGTAGACGTGACATCAGCTTATCCGTCAAGGCTCGAGTTTACAATGTTGCGGTGCGCTCCATACTACTATACGGGTCAGAAACATGGGCCTTGCGCACTGAGGACGTCAAAAGACTTTCAGTGTTCGATGTCGGAGCATTGCCCGAGTCGGGTGGGAACACCAGAGAAGCAATCCTGAAGTACGTCGACTGGTATTCACTATTCGATAGATGAACTGATCACACTGCATAGGTTGCGCTGGCTTGGCCACGTGCTGCGTATGTCAGTCGACCGACTTCCTCGAAGGGCTCTTTTCGCACAACCGCGTGCAGGATGGAAACGAGCTAGGGGAGGTCAATGACTTGACAGCGAAATATAAAATCCAGTACCGGGGAACGCAGCTGTGTTGGTCACTGACGTCTTCCTGGATGGGGACCCCGATACAAGCCATATCATCGGTTAGAGGCATTGTCAGACATGGAACAGTCGCGCCCCCAGTGGCTCTCGTGCATCCAAGCTATTGCCTTCGATGCATAGCTCCCCTGACAATTCCCCACGTGACACTCCACTAACAGTGCTGCATTTACGCACCAGTTAATCAGCTTCCGCCTCTAATTCGCAGCTACCTAGCCAACTTACCCGAATCTTCTGTGAACGAAACTGCGATAGCTAAACCACTGTACGACAACTACACGGTTATTACAGCTGACAATGATGAGGAGGAGGATGCGGTTGTAAGGGGCCACTGTCCTCCGTAAAATTGAACTGAATATACATGTGATTGGTGTGGCGTGAAGATCAGGACAAAACGAAACGTATATATGCTCGTACACAGCACTGCCCCATGTCTTCATGTTGATAAATGTTAATCTTTTACGCAGTGGTGATGTCACCTCGACTAGTGATGAAATGTCTGCAACCAAAATTTCTCGCCTAAAATACTCCATCTTTCGTCAACATGTTTGTAGACATGGTACGGGTAATCTATTAAATCGGACACTGAAAAAATCCTAAAACGGATTCTCAGGTGAATATGATATGCTTCCCACACCATGAGATCTTTCAGCTAACTTCAAACCTTGGCTTAGACAATGGGATGTTAAACATTCGGCTTGTATATGTGCGTCGTCTTTAGCAGAATTCGGTCTCATGCGTATCCAGGGTAAAAATGCGAAACAGCCCAAGAATGTGATCAACAAATTCACCATTTAGGCCGTTCACAGACAATCGGATGGCAAATATGGCTATAAGAAATCCATTTGAACATTGGAAGAAAATGCTTGCTGAAGGCCCTTCCACGGGGCAGAATGTTGTGAATGAAAGTACGGTGCATTGCTGAATCCTGCATGGCGAATAATAAGTGCAATGAAAAGAGAGAATTGTGTGAAAACTGACGTGCCAGATTTCCCAGGGATCATGTCAATTCATTCACGCATTCAGGGTCACTCTAATGCGTCACTTGGCCGAACCTTGAAGAGCGGTCAGCGGTTATCTTTCAGATATAGTGTGGCGCACGAAACAGTTACGTGAAAAATGAATCTTACTCTGAGTAACATATTACGCGCCCCTCTGCCAAGAAATTATGTTGTACGCTCGCTCATTTTCAAAATGGAATAATCGGTCCCGGTCGAAGACCCATTCTCCGTTACCTTTTGTCTGACAAATATAAAGTCTTGGTGCCGAAAAAAGGCAGCAGAAATGTGAGATCCTAGTCTACTTAAACAGTGTAAATCAACATGTCAATCCGGTAGCACCAAAAGTGATTTATCAAGTGCCACTGACTAGTTTCGAAGTGCTTCCTCAAGGCGCACTCTCAATCGCTGAAGCGATCTCCATTGAGTCGAATGTAGGGTACTAGGTGGATTAGAGTGAACATTCTTGTCCTCACTTCAGATATCCAGATTTCAAGTCAGGGGCGAGATGACCCAGTGGTTAGAGCGCGATTTACTAACTGGAACACCCGTGGTTCGAAACCGACTTCTGCACCTGGACTTCCTCTGTCTAGGCATGGGCAACCTAGCAGTATCCCAGCCACCGCGCTTCCTTCTGGTGGCATGACAGTTAAGCTTCGAAATGATGCTACAGTTTGACGATTCGACCAACCCCGGCATGACCAAAGATATGTAGCGCTGATTAGCTCTAATAAGAGCGAAACTTATGTACAGAGCACCCCTTCTTTGTTGCGGAATCACGAAAACAACCGCGCCAAGACAAGAGGAGGACTGTTCAAACGGGAGTGATGTGAGTGCCCATTTTGTCACTACGACAGTCACATGAAGGAATTGAGTCTGTCTCATCCAACCAAGCACACTTCTCCGACTTACGCCCATATACTTCTTTCTTGTAGCCACATTTCCTTTATAACCGCATTTGCTGGTGTAAACCTTATCGAAAGCCGTTGTTCGCAGTTTACAGATTTAACTCCAATCTGACAAATGCTTCTCCTGATATTCCGGTCATTACAAAATGACTACACGGTCTATTTGAATCTAGTGAATAAATTGTAAATGGTCCGTTTGTAAATTACTCTGAACTGCGAGAATTGACTAGCCTTGGCAGCAACGTCAAAAAACGGCATCGTTTCATCTCTTCGTGTTCAGCTTTTCTGAAGATCTTGAAGATGACTGGATTGTATGATGTTTGTTCGCTAATATCACCTGAGCGCCCCGGATGTCGCTGGCTACATTTCAAAATAAATGCCTCTTTAATATGTGACGCCGAGTTTGGCTTTTCGTCTGTTTTTATTACGTAACACATGCCTATTCCACCGAATGGATCTGAATCTGGCAGACGTTTTGTTTTACTAGTTGGAATTTTATGATTTATCTTGCCTACGTTACAAGTGCTAGGAAGGTAATTGTCCAATCCACGTACGCACTTGCTGTGATTCAAGATGCTGTTTTGTCCCGCTACTCTATTGATCACCCGTAAGTTTCCAATCTCACCAATTTTTATCAACAACTGAAAGATTTCTCTCCCTGTTCCGTGACTTTTTTTGTCGAACCAGATATTTTGATCCTTAAAAGATTCGCGTTGTACTGATGGCTGCTTAGCTTGGATACATCAAACTTTTAAGCTCAGGACTAATTGCTCGCATATTTCTTCATTCGTCGGCATCCCGTTTATAAGGCCTACAAGAGCTGTCTACTGTCCTTTGGTGGATAAACCTACTTTGGAAAGTACACACTGATGCATTAATCTAGAAACTCAGGTGCGTTCTCATTCTTCACAGGGAAACTGCATCACAGCGAAAGTTTAATCCCCCTGTTTCTTAGTCAGCCTATTCTCGAATGCTTTCACAAGATTTTTCACTCTTCATCTATCATTTACCTGATACACGCAGAAAAAACTTGCGTATCATCACTCGAGATCTTGAGCAAAATTCACACACTGTATTGTCTGTATTGGGAATAACGATTCTTGCGTCCTAGATGTGAATTCTTAGTTTAGGTCTAAAAAGGGCGAGCGTTGCTCACGGTCTCGCTTCTTCTTCGAAGATCTTGGTCAAAGTAGTAACACTTTTGAGCGTTTATCCAACTGACATGACCTGGAAGTCAGGTAGGCATTTTGTGTTCAGCTGGCCACTTCAGAAAAGATGATAATGTAAGTTCTGTGTGGACTAATATTCCAACAGTTTTTGTGGTCTCGTAACTTTTTCCAAGTCTTGGCCAGCTAGTCAAAGAGTTTCAGCAACTGAGTAATGTGTAACACTTTTGAGCGTTTATCCAACTGACATGACCTGGAAGTCAGGTAGGCATTTTGTGTTCAGCTGGCCACTTCAGAAAAGATGATAATGTAAGTTCTGTGTGGACTAATATTCCAACAGTTTTTGTGGTCTCGTAACTTTTTCCAAGTCTTGGCCAGCTAGTCAAAGAGTTTCAGCAACCCTATGAGTAATGTATTATCTCTGGACAACAACGCAAAGAGTAGAGAAGCGCTGACGTAGAAGAGAGGTGAGGAGAGACTAATCTATCATTGGACTCATTGTTGTATTACGTTATGTTTGGAACTCCACTGTGTCACGTCGCAACTCGTACTTAGACTTTACGTATCCTGACCTTTGCGAGGCTAGTGTCAACGCCCAGACATAAGTTTACTTTTATAAACTAGATTCCTTCTTCACTCGCCCTCCTGCCGTAATCTCTGGACAAGAATTTGATGATAGAAAGAGTTATCCGTATATGTATTCTGCATTCAACTTTGTATAATAAGATGTAGCTGTACACAGGCGATTAGCTTGGATCCTTGGTCAAACAGGGCGATTTGAATCTTGTCGTCGTACTGGAGATGGAAAAGGATTTCAAGAGGTGATGAAGACGGTAAACTTCCACGGGAATTAAATTCAAATAACTTACATTATACCTTCTAACCCTCAATTTCACCCCATAAGTTTGTTTATTTTTAAATAATAATGTTTTGCTACAAACATAATTTAACAGATGATTTGTTCTATATCACATCATGTTAGTTCAGACCATATTTTTATTAGCGAATATACACTCATCTGCAAACTAATTTGGTTCTTTCGAGAGACTCACCCGGAAACCAGCTGAATCTCTCGTTTATGATGTTCTCAGGCAACTGAATGTGCTGCACCAGGCCGCCTCATGTCTCAGTGGCTACGATATTTGAAATATCGCGATACATGTATGTTTGTAATGTACTACTCATAAGTTGCTGAAAATCCATCGACAGCCCACGACCGGTTTCGCCCTTCTTGGGGCTTATCAGGTAGGCGCAGTCCCCGGGTTTCCCTCAACCTTATGTTATACTTGAAACCAAATTGCACGAAATTAGCGAATATACACTCATCTGCAAACCAATTTGATGAGCCCCAAGAAGGGCGAAACCGGTCGATGGATTTTCAGCAACCTTATGAGTAGTACATTACAAATATACATATTTTTATTGTTTATTATTTCACTATACTGAAGTTTTGTAATATCTTATGTTATGTGTTTTAATCTACCTTATTTAATATAGTAGGTTAACATTTTGCGCTAATTTCCGATATTTTCCACTGGGTAAATTGTTGTGAATCAAGATGACCTTCCACAGCTTGCCATATTACAACAAATTTAAATTGTTCGGCGTGGTGCAATACGCATAGTTCGGGGGGCTTCCTCGGTTGATTTTATTAATTTCCTTGCTAGCCTTCGAGAAATACACTCATTTGCAAATCAATTTGGTTTTCGCGAGAGATCCGACTGAATCTCTCGTTTGTGATATTCTACAACTGAATGTGCTGCACACAGGCCGCCTCATGTTCCAGTTGGCACGATATTCGAGATATCGCAGTATATTTTCATGAAGGAAACTACTCACAAGGTTGCTGAAAAATTTTCGATAGCCCACGACCGGTTCCGCCCTTCTTGGGGCTCATCAGGTAGGCGCAGTCCCCGGGTTTCCGTCAACCTTATGTTCTACTTCAAACCGAATTGCTCGAAATTAGCGAATATACACTCATCTGCAAACCAATTTGATGAGCCCCAAGAAGGGCGAAACCGGTCGATGGATTTTCAGCAACCTTATGAGTAGTACATTACAAATATACATATTTTTATTGTTTATTATTTCACTATACTGAAGTTTTGTAATATCTTATGTTATGTGTTTTAATCTACCTTATTTAATATAGTAGGTTAACATTTTGCGCTAATTTCCGATATTTTCCACTGGGTAAATTGTTGTGAATCAAGATGACCTTCCACAGCTTGCCATATTACAACAAATTTAAATTGTTCGGCGTGGTGCAATACGCATAGTTCGGGGGGCTTCCTCGGTTGATTTTATTAATTTCCTTGCTAGCCTTCGAGAAATACACTCATTTGCAAATCAATTTGGTTCTCTCGAGAGACTCAACTGAATCTCTCGTTATGATATTCTACAGCTGAATGTGCTGCACACAAGCTGCCTCATGTTTCAGTTGGCACGATATTCGAGATATCGCAGTATATGTTCATAAAGGAAAGTACTCGCAACTACCTAATGAGCCCCAAGAAGGGCGNACCGGTTCCGCCCTTCTTGGGGCTCATCAGGTAGGCGCAGTCCCCGGGTTTCCGTCAACCTTATGTTCTACTTGAACCCAAATTGTACTGCTTTCGAGAAATGCACTCATAGTTGTCGAAAATCATAGAGTTGTTGAAAACTCTTCGGTTTCGCCATTTTTAGAGCCAATTAGGTGGGCTTTAAGTGAACCACAAATTTGACGGAAACTCAGAGACTAAGCCCATCTGATGACCCTCAGGGACTGCGCCTACCTGATTATCCCCAAGAAGGGCGAAACCGGTCGTGGGCTGTCGAAGAGTTTCCTTCCTTGCTAGCCGTTACACTAGATGTGGTGCTTGAGTTTCAATTCCTTATCCTTAGTCCGACCTTCATTCTTCGTTTCACAATATTGTATAGTTACTTCCATATTCTCCTATGTATCGACTCCCAAGTTAAATTCATTCTTTCATAAAATATCGAGTTCCCGAATTCGAGTCACATTCAAAGACATTGTCGTCTCAGTTGCAAGATTTCCAACATCTTCCAAATCTGTTTGAACAGCTTCCGGGATTCCAGTTCTCTTCAAGGGCTCCGTCTTTTGGTTGAGTTGGATGTCAATGGGTCCATGGTGAGGAGGGCACATTAACCACAAGGTAGAATTCTCTTATCAGCAGAATCTGTATATATTATTGGATATCTTGTGAGATGGCTCAGTGGTTGGAACGCGAATTTACTGACCGGAAGGTCCGTGGTTCGAAACCGAACCCTGCTCTCGACTTCTCATTTCTAGGCTTGGGCAACCCGACAGTATCCCAGCCCCCGTGCTTCCTTCAAGTAGAATGACATTTACGCACCTATGAAGGAGACCACCGTTCTAAAACTATCAAAGCAGCACTCATTTTCATGTCTCTGTCACAGTTTCAATAGTAAACGAGGTCACAACTCCACACTGATAAAGTTTATGACCTTGTACTTCATTGAGTGGTTTTACCCTCAATAAAATGGCTTGAACTCCGTGACCTGTATCAACACAAATCTATATCCGTATGGCGGTTTTGCAAGCAACCCAACAGGTCAATAGCTTCCACAGTTACGCACAATACGGTTCAACTACCGAATCGATACGTTACGAGGGCAAATCAGCCTTACTTTGGTAGCGCAACGGACAACATCTGGCTCACCCGGATGCGCACTGTTAATTTCTGCCTTAACAATGAGAAAACGTTTGCAGGCCATTTGTCAAGCTCGGCAAACGGATCAAGTGTCGCCCGACCAACAGCCAACTGATTGCTTTCTTTCTAATGTGAATTCGGCACCTCATCCACATGAACAATGATAAACGTATTATCCTTGGTTATTTGTCTACCGCTCGCCGATTTCATTGAACGACATGATGTGTGTTGGCATCACTGAGAGAAAAGCATTAGTAATCAAATCCGCAACATAACTTAAGACTCACATTATCTTGGAGCAAAAAAGCTGAAAAGGTGTCCAATTCAGAGAAGGTGCATGTTCTCTTGTGAAGTGGCCGCGAACATTGAGTTCTAATTTATATCAGTACTGAAGCTGACACAACGTGTGCGTATTGTCGGAGCAGTGCACCAATGGCAGAATTTGGTCGGCATCCGTTGTTGAACAAAATCAATCTGGGAGCCAGATGAAATGCAAGCTTTAGAGGAGCGGTTCGATCAATATGCAGCAGCATGCTCGTCACCTTGGCCGGTCATATTTTTTTCATTGTGTAGCATCCAACCGTACGTAGAGAGAAGCTAAGCTCTAGCCAGCAAGGCGCGAAATTCCCTAATAACCGGCCCTATTCTTACATAGTCTTTAGCAGCGAGGATATCCAATCAGAAACCGTATATTCTGATGGATGGCAGGTGAGCATTCGTAGCACCTCAGTCCATTTAAACTCATCTGCTCACTCAGTAATAGGACCTAGTTACCAAGTACCGATATGCACATCATTTCATGGTGACATAATACAAGCAAACAACCTACGCCGTACGAAAAGACAGTGCTGATCAGAGGACATGTGAGTAACCTTCTGAGTCAGAGTTGGCTTCAGATGCTTCTCCTCTCGCTACCGCCATTCTGTGGATGTCTCTCTTGGCGCACTGCGTAATATCGTTGGTCAAAGGACCGAAAATGTTGCTGTAGGAATCTGTAAACCTGGGACCATATGGTACCAAGTATTTGTATGGTTATTCTAGGATGGTCCTTCAACTTCTTACGGGTTTGTATGGGGTGAGAAGGGTCAAGTGGTTAGAGCGCGAATCTACTGACCGGATGGTTCGTGGTTCGAACCCGACCTCTGCCTCTCGACTTGCCTGCCTAGGCTCGAGCAACCTGACAGTGTCCAAGCCCTCGTGCCTCCTCCGAGTGGTAAGGCAGCCAGCCACCGGAGGGATGTTGCAGTTGAACGATTTACGGACAAAGAGGGTGAGTAAAGATATACGAGCATAGTATACGACAACTCGCAGAAGGTTATCCGCTGCTGCCCCTTAAATGATATTTTCTAATGATCTTCTGATTAGCCTACCACATACTGACAAGCTGTTACAGCTAACGGTGTTGACAAGGGTTGTTGCGAATATGGATTTTATCGGAAGATTATTGAAAAACTTCTTGGTACACTCCCCAACATGATCTTCTTTGTGAAGAACATGCATAGTCATGTGGCCGTATTATTACTGGATTGGTAGAAATGTTCCTTTAACCCAACGATCTCTGATTTATTCTTAACAGATGATCTAGTTTAATGGAAATCAATAACTCACCAACTGAATGCGACCATGGTATATTCTTAATTAATGAGCATTTTCTGAGATACTATCTGGTCCGCAACAGAACAGGAGCTCAGACAAGCAAGCCCTTGTATAATGATGTGATACGAAAACTAGTACATTGTAGTTTTCAGACCTGCAATGCTGTGGTCACAAAGGCAATTTTCCACCATGGTGTGGAAGTGCATGTTTCGAAATTCTCAACTGCGTATCGTCTTCACCTGTGAATCACTGCTGTTTGAAATACGCGAAGATCAAACATCTCATCAAGCGGTTCGGTGTTGGCACACTTATTCTGGACAAGACGCATCGTGGGTTCTGGGTGTAATGTTTGTCATCGTTTGCTGGAATGGGGCTACAGGATGTTTCTGCTGCAGTTACAGTCTTTATACATGGGCTACCGATGAACACTCGGGAAGGGTTGATCTTACATGTAGATCAAATATACTTTTCACAAAACAGTTGACTTCAGACAAAAAATTACAAAGTCCAACCTCACAAGCGTTCCCGTGTCGGTTCTGCATCCTGTGCAATGGCAGTGCGCTCAACAAGAGCCTACTTGTTTCTGACATGCGTAAAACATATAAGACAAAATACACCCCTCTGTATTTGGATAGACAATTAGTTTGAGAACCTACCAATGTTCTGTCGGTGTGTAGTGACTGCCTGTATTGAAACCGTAAGAATTCACGCTAAAATTCTTCAGAACTTTCCGCTAATCACAACAGTTAGCAGGGTATATGAGTAGTAAGAATCATCGGCTTCGAATTTGACCCTCTTGCAACTCAAAGGTGTCAAATCCAAAGATACACAGTGTCGGGGTTTCTTCATTACTGGGACTTCTCATTTGTGCGTGCAGATTTCGGGACATATAATTCATGGGATGGCAGTTACAAGCTATTTTTTACAGCAGGCACTCAAAGTTGTAATCAGGTGCACATTCGAAGGTCCCCATTTGAAAGGGCGCGACTCCCGGAAACATACGGAAGGCGTTGATAATTTATTTCCGCAATTGTTCAATAAATTCCGAATTTGCTACAAACCGCTCATCATTTCCAACTGTGTCACCTGTTGCTTACAGTCTGATGCAATGGACAGTAAATATAAACTACAAGCAAACCATGTTGAATGAGGATTTGAGTGGAAATTACACTTTGCACCCACCTTTCGTTTTGGCACTTTTGTCTGAATATCAATCGTATAAAAGCTTCCAGACTTTATTGGACACGGAGGCGTTGTAAATTTGCATCCGTCCACATACGGAGACGGAAATTTTATCCAATAATTCAGGCCAAGTGTTCCCGTCACACGCACCCACGGAACGATGGCAGGAAACTCATGGGCTAGGCGAAAAAGTGGGACATTAAAAAACAGCATTTGTTTCCCCAGCTGTCTGAAAGTGTTTTTGAAAGTCACTGGACGTTGTAACCTCAATCGGTAAATTATGTTATTTCATCAGCGGGTTGATGAGTGATGGGCGAACGTTCCTACATATAGCAACCGTCAAAAATCTGGCGATAATAGTACACTTGCCCAAGCCTTTTCCTTTCTCTGGAGAAAAGTGATTTTACTTGTGATGAGTAAACAACCAGTACATCTGCAGCACAGATACATCTTACCGCTGGAAGTTTTAGTTAATATACCTAAGCGTGCTAGTGGACAGTTTGCAATCAGAGAATAATCAGTGAATAAATCTCTTAATCAGTCACGAGATATGCCAAATCTACACGTGTGTCGGTGTGTCCGTTGCCTTTCTTCGAGGCCATATTTTCATTCATCAAACGTCCCCCCATTTTCTTCTTTCCTCAGTCCCGTCTCTATACCCTGAAATGGATCGTCCCCTTCCCCACAGAACACTTTCAACAACTATATAGCAGCGCTTTCAATACCACAGCTGGCATTTCTTGAGTGTTCAGGATCCCATGCGACCGAGTATTACGAATAGAAATTGGCAAAATTCGCAGGTGGATTATGTCAATAAAACCCTGGAATTTGTGTCGCATCTACCTGGACAACTGAACTGTTAGTTTTTCACGGACTACTTGGGATACGATAATAGTTTTTGCGTGGTCGCAACCTTTTGCGGCACCCAGAGTTTGTACATTTACATCTTTGATCGACTCTTCTTTGTTGCTGAGTATTCCATGTCCAGAACAGTCATTCAGAAATGAAGTTATTCAAACCGGCGGCGGCACTATTTTAGATAGTTCCTCAGAAGGAAGTCACATACGCGTCGTGCTACTAGTCAGAGCTACCATTGTAACGGTGATACTACTGATGGGGATGCATGCGAGTAGTAGGGTTTCTTCTTGTAACTTCGCTATGCATCTCTCGGAAAAGGGAGATCTGTTGCGGAATTTGTGGAGCCGCTTTGTAGCATTTACTTGGATTTGCGTAACAGTCAATGAATAGCCAGGAAAGATGCAAATAAGAGTTCTGCTTCCCTATCCAATGGTCTGTAACTGGTCAGTTGGCATTCTCTAATAAATAACTCTGAAGCGAAGGCCTTGTTCCTTTATGCACCATTATAGATATTTCTTCAGAAGGAAGTCACATGCGCGTCGTGCTATTAGTCACAGCTACAATGATTTGGGGAAAACACAATAATTCAACTTTAGAATGATTGGATCAAAATAAAATTAATTTCCTACTTTCAGTTTGAATTCAGTGTCACAGTGGTGGAGGCAGGATAGCACCCTTCGAAGGAGCTACCGATACTGGGGAAAATATCACTGAAGATTCAAGCAGACGGCATGTATTTCGGATTCCTGGTAACTATGAATGGCGGTATGTGCATGAAAAGCACATTTATATGTTCTTCTGCGCGATCTCTGATCTAATAAAAACGAATAAACTCAAAGTGATACACAACTATAATTCGCTCATGCAAACAGCCGAATCAGCCGAAATGGAAGTACCAGTGTAACGGTGATACTACTGATGTGAAGCACGCGAGTAGCATGTGTTGTTCGTATAATTCCGCTTTGCGTCTTTTGAGAAGGGGAGATCTGTTGCGGAATTCGTGGAGCAACTTTGTAACATTTGCTTGGATTTGTCCGACGAATGAGTGGAGTCAATGAATCTCCAGGAAAGTTCAAGAAGACGCGTTCGGGAGAAGATGGGTGTCCAGTTTTTGTAAATAAGATGCAAATTAGAGTTTTGCTTCCCTGTTCAATGGTCTGTAACTGGTCAGTTGGCATTTCCTAATAAATGGCTCCGCAGCGAAGGCCTTCTTCCTTTCACCAGTAAGTCGTCCCTGCAGCACACTCGAAGCTTCATATCACATCACAAGTTTAAGCATGCAATGTTTTTTAATCGGCATAAGACTATTCACCATTTTCACTGCCCTGATGGCAACACAGTGGTGACGAACATGGGGTGGTCGGTAATAGAATTCTTTGAACTCAGACATTTGGGGAAACGAGCAGAATTCCATTCATCTGCGTATTTCCACTGCATGGCATTAGGCAGTCTTGTTCTACTCGGTCTGCTTGGTTGGCTACTGCATCGATAAAATGAAATTGCTGATTACAAAGTAAATTGGTTTGGACTAAATATACCGAAAAATTCCGCGGCGAAGTTTGTAGTGTATGGACAACGAACGATCTATTCAACTACAAACCTTGTGCTCAGTTTGTATGTCAACCTCCGAATGATAAATTCAATTTTCCTTCTCGGACCAAGTTGAGATACGGTAGCGGTGATTAGTAGCATGTTTGATCGGTGCAGGAAAGTTACAACGCTATCATCAAACATTTGCTGAAAAGTAATCCTTCCTGCCAGCTTGGTTCGTTCATGAAGAGAGTAAGTTCACTAATCATGACATTCACAGAAGATCGTCTTCGATTTACAGCGCAGAACTCTGCACAAAGTTTGAACTCCTAATTTTTGCTTACACCAGTGTTGTCCAAAAAGTGCTGCTTGCGGTTTTCTATAGAAAATTTGTACACAATTATATTCATATTACATCAGACTTATTATTCCAGACTTTCAGCCACCTATTAGTGGTATTGGAAGACTTGGGGATTTTCAACTGAGATTTCGTCGTAAAATTAAAGGCGACCTACGCTTGGAATCCGAGGAGCACTGTACAGCTTTCTTATCCTAGTTGGAAATCATCAACAATGCGCATCTGAATAATTTCCAGAGATATTCAATTAGTGATCTCTTGACTAGTCGCTTGAAAACTTGGCGTTCGTCCACAAGAGACGTTTCGATAGAATAAAGCAACGCTCATCTAACCAGTTAATTGACACATGACCAGGTGAGGCATACAGTAAATTAATAATGAGTGGCGCTAAATCCCAAATGCGAGTTAATCACACTGGTGATTGGCTGCTCGCCGCTGAGCGGTCAAATGTTCAAGCTACCAGCCGGGAAGTCGAGGGTTAAAAGCTTTGAAATTTCGTCAGATGCCCAATGTTGATAATTCCGAATCGGGATGAGACGGTTCTTGTTCACTTACAGCACGAAAGCTGAATATCAACTATCTGTTGCATTCAAAGTAGGCAATCACCCAAGCGTTCAACTGATTAGTGCTCAACCCCGCCAGAAAAATCTAACCAGCTCCATGAGCTGATAGTTTCCTTTCGAATTGGAATTAATACAGTTATTGAATACATATCACTTCACGATGGATTTTACACCGGGCATGCTCTTTGACACAAAGATAGGTTGTTTCAACGTTGTCAATATTGTGGCATTTATTTGTCGTGGTTTATTGTCTGGTCCTTTTTAGGGTAAGGAACCTCATGTTCGTATAGTACAGCACTATTTATCACGTTTTCTTCCGACCTACGCAGTTTGACTGATCCAAAGTTCATTATTGATACAGACGTAAAGAATTTTAACGCACTTGGTTCAAAAACCATGGATCCTGTTAGCGTTTGGCCAGTCTTTAGTGTACAGGGCTCATTCCTGCACTCCTCGATTGTGAATCCTTTAACAACATTTGGTTGTTTACCTGAAATGGAAGAAGCGTAAAACCTTCAAGGCGCATTCGGACAGCTTGCAGAATGAATTGTGCAATTATCAAATTTATATCGTTCGCATGGAAACTGATTCAAAGGACAGTCGGGATAATGTATAAAGATTGTAGAGAAAGCTTTTCCAATACATACTCGTTTGAATACTTACTGTTAGAATGTGCCGTAAGTTCTTCTGGGCAACCAGTCGATATTGTAACGTCATGACGGTGTATAGTATCGGGGGATTTGTCAGGTAGCGTTCTCAATAAACAGTTGACATTCTGTTGCACTAATGACAGCCGCAGGTAACAATGTTTACATCCGTTGTGCATTGACAGACCGTAAGCCATGGACAACGGATATCTTGACCCGAGGAAACGCCATACAACAATATTGTCCGGGACTCACCAGCGCACCCAAACAAACCAATCAGGATTTGACTGAATACTGCCAAAATCGCAAATGCTAACGCAGCCACCAGACACACATAATTGTCTTTGGTTTGTTAAGGAGTAAAATGGAAAAGGGACTTTAATCGATCAGTACTAATGATCGCCATTACTATTGAAAGGAAGAAGGCCTTCGCTGCGGAGCCATTTATTAGGAAATGCCAACTGACCAGTTACAGACCATTGAACAGGGAAGCAAAACTCTAATTTGCATCTTATTTACAAAAACTGGACACCCATCTTCTCCCGAACGCGTCTTCTTGAACTTTCCTGGAGATTCATTGACTCCACTCATTCGTCGGTCAAATCCAAGCAAATGTTACAAAGTTGCTCCACGAATTCCGCAGCAGATCTCCCCTTCTCAAAAGACGCAAAGCGGAATTATACGAACAACACATGCTACTCGCGTGCCACAGCTGTCAAGCCTTGCCGTCACATTGAGAATCAACATTCTAAACGCGCTGGAACTGATGTCATTGACCGGTAAATGAACTACATTCGGTAGAAGTTTTCATTTCCAGAAGGGAAGTCTTCATATGAACTCACATTCTTACGTTCACATACATACTGCTAGCATAAACACGGCGTAAAAGCAAGAATGTTTTCAAGCCACTCGTCAGTTGATGCCCAACTGTGAGAATCACGTACAAAAAAGCTGAGAGACACATTTTTGAAATTTACTGCAGAGAGGAAAGGCATGGGAAGTGTTACTTGACCTAACAACAGATGTATACATTTGATCGTCAAGCTCAGCTGGTGCTTGCTCTAAAAACTGATCTATTCTATTCTCACCTTAAGGTCATCTTAGTTGGAGTAACACAGCTAACCATGTCGAGTTGCGTATTCAAGGGGGTTACATTTTTTATGGCTATTCCAAGTGCTTGTCCCAAAAACTTTGACAATGTAAGGCATGAACCATGATCACATCATGAGTGATGGTAAATCGTCTTGCAGCAGTTAATTAAAAGAGCGCGCATGAACGCGGATGGAAAGCCAAATTGAGAATGAAGAAGTCTGGTCTACTATGGAAGAAGACTTAACACGAAACTATAAACCAAAATGAGAAGACCAATTTTGAATGATTGAAGAATGTGACAATTCTGTCGCGTTTCTGTCAGAGCGTGTCTTAATTATTCAAAACAGAAACCTACGGATTGTTTAATTTTTTTTGTTTAATCTTGCCGAGAGAAAACCAGTTGATGCCTAAAATGCAAAACGCCAGTCGTAAAAAGTGGCCTTCAATCGTCAGCATTGGACTTCGTGGTTGGTTATCTCAGTGAAACACTAAGGTTAAAAATGTGGCATTCTTCAGATCCGGTTCTTAGGCGCAAGGTTTGCTGTACCAAGAAGGAGCCTCAACCGATCAGATCTCTAGGTACGCCTTTCAACTCTGTCAATTCATTTTTACGGAGTTTCAAAACTGAAGTGAAACATAGCAAACTGAACGCTGTAGCGGAAACGAAACAGTTTCGAGGTGAATTTATTCCATGCCATTTCGCTTTCCAACAGCGCACATGAGACCAGGGCAAAATTGACTAAACTGCAAGTGACATTTAGAATACTGTTCTCAAGTCGACGTCATATAAAAAGCCTCTATCAGTGAAGTTCTGCTACTGTCCGGATCAGGCTCAAGTCTTTCCCTGTTCTCTTGCAAACCGCGTTGACCAGAAAAGATGTCCACTGTTTTGGTAACATTTAGATGCTGCATGATTGATGAATGGACTTTTATATCGACTGAAACCGACCTTGTTTTCACGACATAAGTTGATGCCAATGCTCACTGAACCGCCTCGCAAGCGTTGTCAATCGTATGGATATAATCTTCATCGCAGGAAATGCAACTGACCGGCGTTTTGGTTGGTGGCAGTGGAACTATCCTTGTCTGCGGTTTAGAGAAGTGCTGTACAGTATATTGCATTCGACGCAACTTCTCATCTACACTTTTTCAGCAGAAATTTTGAACCACCACAGGTACACCGATGTGCATGGTAAATTGACTTCTGTGGAGCAACTGACCGAGCCAACGTGTGCTACCTGTCTCCCTACAAATTCATCTAATCAGCGATTTGACCTTGCTTCATTTTAAATTGATAAGTTTCCTTGTTCAGTGTGCACGCCGTGCAAGTTATTCTGATAGCTAAACGGAAATTAGTACACTGAAGAAACGCTTTCACGTGTTTGGGCTCACGGCGAACAGAACCGACACGTGCTCATCTTTATTTGTATGGAGTTTAATGTCTAAAAATAGGAGTTGGCTCAAAAGCAAGTATATTATGGAGACTAGTTGAAGCAGAAAATAGAGTTTCAAACCATTCCTTCCGCTCCCCATCAGCGACCAGAATGCTATACAAGTATTCTCGGAAAAGATGTCTACCAAAACACTGTCCGACAGTGGTTCCCATTGCCGGACCACTACGTTGCTCACAGCTGTTAATTTAACACTAGCATTTAGCTCTATGGACACATGCGTATAAGACCCATCTGGATTTGAATGAATGGCTGACGAGAATCGCACAGGAGATTTATTTATGCTTCAGGGCACACTGACAAATACTGACTTTGAATCGAACTAGAAGATTATCGAAATTGAGGTGTATTTACTTTTTTATTGTAATGCAAGATGTGCTTTTCAAACAACGTCATTTGCGGACAATCTTAACATGTTCCAGAGAAGTGTCATGAGCTTAGTGGTTAAACGAAGATAGGATAAAATAATCATAGAGAAAAAACTACTGCTAGGTATGGTGCCGTCACGAATCCTATGAGACTTTAATGTAATAAAAGAGTAGCCTATATGTAGTGGGGAACAGAGGCTGTTATTGCAACCATTTGACTTGGCTTTCATTTAGTTCGCGTTTTCCGAAAGTGTACATCTGTATATATATATATGTATATATATATATATATATGTAAAGCTCAAGCTGGTAGTGCTGGCAGAAGGCCCATAAGATAGGTCAATGAGCACTTTCATCTCAGTCAGCCATCGATCATGGAGGACTCAAATGCAGGCAAGTGTAAGGTTGACATCCTTTTAGGTCGATGTGTCATATCTAGAAGCGCTGTCGATCACTCGATGAAGTCAGGTGCTATGCTATGTACCTAACGTGACCCTTACTTATCAAGTACATTGCAAAAAACGTGTTTAGGCCGGACCCTGCTAATAGACAAATTGTGGTATTAAAACTTTAGGGTATATATGCATCCTGATCTGATAGTTTTACTGATGCTATGCTTGTGGACAGTTGAGACTGCGTTAAAAATTGTCACTTAACTTCTTCAGTTCATACTGATTACTTTCCTGCCTCCGATCACTTTGTTAAGGTGATGTTATCAGGTTAGATAACTTTGCGGCCCTCCAAATTATTGGTTCGCTGGAAACTCCCCTGTGTGACCTAATGAGTTCATATGAAAGTTCTACCCTTCTACAAATTAGCTATCTAGCTAGTGGACTTTTTCGGTAATTGTAAAGCAGCGGCAAAGTGCAAGCAACTTGGAAATATTCTAACATGTAAGGTAGAAAGAATCCTCTGAAAACTGTGAAAAACTACCTGAATTTTTCAAACTTCATTAATTTATTGAAGTTTTAGTTGATTCACTTAATTTCGGCGTATAGTGGCTGGCTGTTCAGTACTGTGTGGCTGTAGTTAGATCGCACTTGGAGTCCCCGGCAGCAAGTAGGCTTACAGAGATGCCTTAAAAAGTGCAAATAAAGACATCGATTGATCACCTGAATTATTAGTCCTGACAAGAGGGTGATATGCTTGAAAAAAATATCCGCTGTTTGTGGGCCAGTCAACTTCGCACAGATGGCTGGGGCAATAACACAGTTGATTGCCAAAAGACAGTTTCAGGTCAACTAGAAACGCCCAGCTTGACAAAGTGGGTTAAAGAGACCTTCACAATATTGGATTTTGCGGCGTTCTGAAAGTCTGCGTTAGTTAACACTTAAAACTAAGTTAGATTGCAACCCTAACTATGCAAAGAGGTAGTAGCCTAGGTAGCAAGATAAAACAAACTGGTCCGAAAACCGGCGGGCAGTTCGCCGCTAAATAAATTTCATGGTTTCTGTGCTTTTGGCTGGGATCGTGAATGTTTGTTCTTTCCCATGAATTTGCTTGTTTGTTCCTCGCATTTCCACAGATGAAAAAATATGCGTGGTGGTCGGCCGATTCCCAGAGTGAGACTACTTTTATCCTACCAATATCTCCCTCATGAAATGGAAATTCAAATTTGGGGGGAGAGTATCTTACAAACTCTCACACAATACACAATTCAGGTAGTAAAACAAAAACTTACTGCAATCAGTCCACTGTATACGTCCCTTAACTTGGACGCACCATAACAAAATACTTAGTAGTATAGGACGTCGCTTCATTAATTACAACAACGGCAGACGGTTGTCAGCCTCAATTATATATCCGTTTACCACGTGGGGTCATTTTTCTCACCCGTATAATGCACTTGTGTGTGAAGATAGATGCGAGACATGTGTTCCTAAGTTTTTATCTATTCCACCAATGCAAAAGCTACTGAACATATTTTGGCTA